TTTTTTTTTCCACTTTTTTTTTAAATGTGATTTATCATGGAGGGTGCTGTATAAACTCTTCCTGTCACCTTTGATTGAAAAGGCGTCTATATACATGCACCTGTATCTCATGAGCATACTGTTCTGTTCTAGACGAATGGGCAGAGGTGGCCAGTCCTCCTCGTCTTCCAGGGAGTCAGGAGCCATTAGACACTGCACCTCTAAGAGATCTAATGGGATGCAGATGTCCAGAAGTATATGGTATGGAGAATGTGCCAGTGGCTTTTCAATGTCTTGCTCCTGCCTTGCAGGGAGAAAGTGATTTGGATATTGAGCAGGATACCAAAGTAGAACTGTGAGCTCAGCCTGTGGAGCTCACTTTCACTCACCTCCATGTGTCCAGCTGACTTGCAGAGCTGACATGAGATGCCAGAACAACTTCTGAGCAGCATATGTTAAGAAAGCTGTAGTCTATTCGTACTCAAGTGCTTCTACTGTGGTGATAACCTGGCTTGTTTACTCCCTTTAAATACATTCTGAATGATGTCCACTGTCAACACTGTAGCTTGAACTTATAGTTTGATTATGTGGGTAAAGATTAATTCAACCAGGAGATTGGGAAAGTTAGGAGGGTGGCTAGAAGATCGTCAATGAACTCTAAAGACAAACAGCTCAAATGTGTATAGGAAGATTATACTTTGTCTGACTCCATACTCAATCACATCTAAAAACCGAAACAATCACAACAGAAACCCACAACAACAAAAAACTTGTTGCTTCCGTTGCACTGCTCTTGATGCTGTGCATGTGGGCAAACACAAACATTATCTGAAGATTGAGTAATAAGAGTATAACTGCCTCCTTTTTCTACAGTAATATGTACCTTCCTAGTCTGTGTTACCGTCTCACTTTGCTAGAAATGAAAGTGTTGGTTTCAACCCTGTGGAAGAAACAGCCTCTTGTTCTGTAATATAAACAGCAGGAACACTCAGGCCTACAAATACACCCTGCCACTTGCGTTCTGTTATCTAAGCTAACAGCAGGATGTTTAGTGGAGGACATTCAACTCTGGAATTTGCTCTTTGTCGCTCCAGTATTGTCAGTCTGCTGATTTTGTGGAATGTTAGTTCAGCCTTTCATGAGAAGCAGTTAGATCTTTGTAATTACAGCGTGTTTGTAGAGGTGTTTATCTCTGCAGTTGCTTACCAAATGAAGCAAATGGTATAAGCTGCGTATTGGTAAAGTAATACAAATTTTAACAATCTGCTTTAAAAGATATATGGCAATAAACACTTGACTTGGCTTATTGTTGGGCAAATGGTGCAAAAGAGAATCTTCATCTTCTGTCACTTGAATTTTCTGCTGTTGATTTCATCTCTGAATAAAATTAACTTGAATAGTCTGTGGTCCTTATTCTGAAGCTTCTGTTACTGTAGGTAGTATTTTATATGATGCTTGGGTTTGTTTTTCTTCTGTGCCTTTAAAATGCGTATATGTACAGGACGTAAGATTTTAACCTTGCTGTGTGAAGTGTTTGTGAATTCTTGGTGTACTTGTCATTAAAAATCCATCCTTGTTCTGATTGAAACTGCTAGTAACAGTTCAAATAGCAGTGAAGTTGTAGTCTAACAGTCTCACAAGGCCGTAAGAAACTTGAACTAAAACTTGAAGCTTTTGGTAGCATCTCTGTTAGAAAAAAATCTTGAAAATGGATCTCTATTCTTTTTGTTTCAATTTTTGATGTGTGGCTTCTTTTTCTGAAGATTCCGTAAAATGAACAAGCGTTTGGTTCCCAGAAGACCCCTGAGTGCATCCCTGGGCCAGCTAAATGAGGTGGGCCTGCCTTCAGGAGCTATCCTCTCAGAGGAAGGGGGAGTGGACTTGCCCAATAGGAAAACTTCTGCTCTGCCAAATGGAATTGTGTCAACAGGCAGCACGGTGACGCAACTTATTTCTCGAGGGACTGACTCTGGTTATGAAACAGCTCTGAAGCCAGGGAAGATGGACCATCTGAGTAGCAGTGCCCCTGGATCTCCTCCTGACTTGTACGGGTCTTTCTAACTGTTGTTTGAAGTGTCTTGTGTGTAAATATGCAGTAGAAAGAAACCCATTCTCTAGAAAAGAAACAGAACAGGGTCTTTTGGTCTTGTGCTGATTTTTTTTGGTTTGGTTTGGGTTTTTGTTGGTTTTGGTTGTTTTTAAGTGATTAAGAAGTAGAGTAGAAAATTAAAGCTAAAACTCTGAACTGTTTTACTTCACTGTTTGCTTGTATTTTAATTGCAGAAGGTGATGTAAGCCTTCAGCAGGTGGAGGATAGACTGTTTTATAGTACAGTGTGTTATATCAGGCCGTAATGAGCAGTGCCATCTTTATACCTTTTAGGCTGGAATCTGTTCCCAAGAGCTCTATTTCTGCCTTACCCGTGAACCCTCATCCTGTGCCTGCTCGGGCACCAACAGATCTGCCTTCGGTGTCAGTCACTAAGCAGTTGCAAATGGTACCACGAGGGTCTCAGTTGTATAATACGCAGCAAGCAGATATGTTTTATCAAGATCCTAGAGGAACTGCCCCACCATTTGAGCCAGCATCCTACCAACAAGGTAAGTTTAAGACCAAGCTCTCTTTCATCTTCTTACTGATTTTACTCTTTCTTCCCACTCATGTTTTTAAGCCTTCAAGTTAGAGTTTTAGCTATCACGTGGACTGTAGGCACTAATGTGGTGATGACGTAATTAAATGGAAATCGGCAGGCTTTTTATGTCTTCAATGAGGGTGTTAGTGCAGTTGAACACAGAGGTTTATACCCATCCAGTGTAGCAAATCCTTCTTTTCTTTCAGTTCTTCCTAACTAGACTGGATCAGGAGCCTAATGTGGTAAATCGTAATTCAGTTTGACTCGGAAAATTGAAATTGAGTTTAACCAGCAGAGGGGGTTATGCTTGAAGGGTGAAAGTACTTAACATCCTTAATGAAAAGTGTGTGAGTGTTCCAGAAGTGTCTGCATATGCATGTGATGGGTAGAGACAAGTGAAATTAGAGAAAGGTGTGGCACAAAAAGTAAAACATCATAAAAAATTACCTAAGAAGAAAAGTGAGTGTGAAGAGACCAAGTGGAGAAAGATAGTATTGAAGGGGATTAGAAAGAAAAGATAGAGCTATATAAAAAGAGTGATTCTTGCACAATGTAAGATTGGAGAGAGAAATTACGTTAAGTACAGTTAATGTGAAGGAAAAATAAGGAATGAAAGACTGAAAGAAGTGGGGAAAAAAGAAGAAAAAGCCCTAGAAAGGAAGGGAGGTAGGGGAATGCCACGATTTTTGGGATGGTTGTGTAACGTTTTGAAGGGGAGGGAAGAGCTTACATTTGATTCTTGTGTGCAAATGAAGATTTGAGCTGTCCATAAAACTTAATATGTGTGTATTTGTGCTTATTTAATTATCAAGAGATCCCAGATAGATTAGTAAAATCTTCATGTAACTAAAGGGGTGTGTTCTTAGAAGTTTTTGGTGATTCACAGTGTGAAATTTCCTTCTGCTATTCAAGAGGTAGAAAAATCTGTAGGTAACTTTAATTTCTAATTAATCCAGGTTTCTCTACACAGGCAGTGGCTCGATATTTTTGGGACAAATTGGATTTTAGTTGCATGGATGTACAGGCTAAACTTCAGTTTACTTTTTAAGTCTTATCTAGCTAAAAGCATTCATACTGATCTGAAGAGACATTCTAGTGAATTATTTGTTTGGCATGCTATCAGGACTGCTGTGGCTCATGTGATAGACTCAGTCTCACCACCTTTTCTCCAGCTACTGTAATCTTTATGCCTTGCTGGTATCTTATTTAGATAACTGAATTGTGTCACTTGAGCTTTGGATCACCTTTTGATTTTCTGTAGTTAATTTTTGAGTAGAAATACTGGTTAGAGAGTGGGGCAGACAATGTGAATTTATACCCTTGTCTTCATGGTATTTGTAGACTGGAGTGTTTGAAACAATTCTGTTTTGTGGTCAGTTGTGATAATCACTTTATCTTGTTTGTGGGTTTGTTTTTATTTGTTTTCCTCTTGCCTTCTTTCAGGAGTTTACTATCCCACTCAGTCCATGTCTCGCTTTGTCCGACCTCCTCCATCAGTTCCTGAACCTGGTCCACCTTATTTAGACCATTACCCACCCTACCTTCAGGATCGTGTGGTGAGCCCACAGTACACGCAGCCGCAGCAGTATCCTCCTATGGGACAACCCATTTACCCACCTCACTATGACGGTCGTCGTGTATATCCCCCTGTCCAGCCATATCAGCGAGAGGAGATTGTCCGAGGAAGCCCTGTACCCATTGAAATTCCACAAGCAGCTGTACCCTCCTACATCCCTGAATCCAGAGACAGATACCAGCAAACAGAGGGTTATTGCCCAGTGACTCCACATCTTGGTCAAATCAGACCTTCATGCCACAGGGTACGGGGTTTATATCACTTTTTGGTAGTTGTTTGAGAGAGAAACTGTGAACTACTCAAGAATTTGAATATTTTTGTAGTAAGGTGATGGGCATTATGAGGACTTAGAAGTTTGATCTTTAAGAAGGAGTACCTTTGACGAAGCTGATTTAAAAACAGGAAGGCAGTTTAGTTAGTGGTCAACTCTGCAACTGTAATGATGTTGATATGGAAAAGAGCAGGCTGCTACTTAATGCTCAAAGTAGAAAAGCATTGTAATTAACTTTGAAAGTCTCTCATGGTCCTGGCTTCTCCAACAAAAGGTTAGATGGGAGAGGGCCACCACCTTTGTAGTGCAGATTAAATACAGAGTGTGGAAGTGGTCATGTGTGCATTCTTGTACTGATCACCTGTGACTGACGACTTCTGTGCCTAAATAAATGTACAAACATGCATCTCTTGATAAAGGAACCGAAACTTCTGCTCTTCTAAATGTTCTCTACTTTAAAATTGCTGACTGGAGGGACTTCCTACAAGTGTACAAACTTGTCTTCATAAATCACCACCTGGAATGGAGTCCTGAACAGTTGGGTTTACATAGCTCTGAATTGTATTGCCGAGTCTAGGAAGCATTTTTACATAGTTCATAGGTTTCAGTTTTGAGTTTGTCACATTTTTGGGATGTTTAATTCTATTGCAAAATGAATAATAAATGTAAACTAACTGTGAATAGGTTATGATCTGTAGAGTTCTACAGCTTTTTCCCCAAATGACTGAAATGGGGACCTGCCATGCAGGAACATGTCTCAGTGGTAACTTTGCCAAGTTGGAACACAGATTCATGTTGAGCTACCTGTGAGTTAAAAGATAAACAGTTTTAAAGTTAGAACACTGGGTTAGTTGAGTAATCAGTTTTAGACAAAATAACATTCCCTGCCTTTGGGGTGTATGGCTAGTGTAGGAACATATATATCCTATATTAAACATAAAAGTCAACAGATGGACTTCAACAAAGTGGTCATTATTTGTTACTGTAATGATACTGTCTGTTCATTGTAGAAGTGTCTGGTTGCCCTATTTTGTTTGGTTAAACATTTTTTAAATTACTAGTTTTGTGCATTAATACTTCAGAAGCTTTGTAACATATTTCTCTCTTCAATTCAGCCTCATCCCAGCTTGGATGAACTTCATCGACGAAGGAAAGAGATCATGGCCCAGCTTGAAGAGAGGAAGGTGATTTCTCCACCTCCTTTTGCACCGTCACCAACCTTGCCTCATCCTTTTCATTCAGAGGAGGTAAGCATATTTTGACAAAAATACAACTTGCTAGCGTATTTGGAAAATACTTTGGTGTTTGTGTGTTGCTTTGTTTGGTGAAGACAACAAAGTTAGGACAGTACAGTGTGGGGGAAGAGATTTTGTACTCTGGGTGGGAAGCCCTTATGGTGCAGTCTGCATTTTCTTAGCTAGCCATTGTTTCTCTGATCTACTACTGATCCTGAGCTATCTGCTTTTGGTGAAACCAAAAGAAGTAGTTTTGAGCCATTATTAATTGAACTAGTCTTCACAGTTACTGGACTTCTTCATTTGCTCCTGACATGTTTACAATTAAGTAACAGCTTGATGGAGGTTTATTTTTTAACCAAGGTCAAAATATCACTCTCATACTGGCCAAATGAATGGTCAGCGCAGGGAGTGAGTGTAGCCAGGTGATCAGAATTTCATGCATTTCATGCTTTCCATGGCCCAATTCCAAATGGTGATGTATTGATTAAAAAATGATCCTGGTAGTTTTTCAAGGTCACTGCTGTTGAACTAAGTATTGGTGGCTGTGAAGCTGCTTCTTCCCTTCACTTACAGAACCAGATTTTTGTTTTTGTACAGTACTTGGATGAAGACCTGAAGGTAGCTGGGAAATACAAAGGAAATGACTACAGCCAATACTCTCCCTGGTCCTGTGACACCATCGGCTCCTACATTGGAACCAAAGATGCAAAACCCAAAGATGTTGTGGCAGCAAGGAGTGTGGAGATGGCGGTATGTAGGGATTGGGGGAACATGGAAGAAAGGTTGATACTTCTGTGGATTTGGAGGGACTCTTTCACTTGCTTTCCAGGATGACAGCAGTGCTTGTATTTAAGCTCAAAAGTGCACTGCAGTCGAATGCATTTGAGAATGCATTTGCAAATGTGCAGAGGGTTTGCTTTGTTTTCAAAGTTACAGATAGTCCTACATCTTTGTAGCTGTTCTAGAATTCTGGATATAGATGCAGGTTAACCACTCTGCTCTTAAGCCATGATAGCAAGAGATACTTTGCCATGATTCTTTGTGATTATTTGAAATCCAAAATGACTTTCTGCTGGCAGCTTGTTAATTAAACATGTCCATCTATTGCTTTGTGTACTTTCTGTCAGAGGGAGATGCTATAACTTTGTGCTATTAAATCCTTTTAAGGTGATTACTGCTGTTTTATTAGTTTTTACTTGAAGGACACACTGATTTGTGACCACAAGAATACCTAAACTTGCATGAAGCTTTTGAGAAGCATAGTTGTAACATAATACTAGGCTGATTCTTTTTGAGAGCAATTTCTAGCTCTATGCTGTGTTCAGTCCTTCACTGAAGCTGTGGGTGTCTGGCTGTAATCTTATTCTGTGCTGCTGTATTTTTGCTAAGCTGGGGGGAGGGGGGAAGGTCTGCTAGGATGTCATTGGAGTCATGAATGTAGAAGAAAATACGTAGGATTCTGAAATACCACCACTATTTGGTTTCTCACTAACATTTAAGCATCACTACAGCAAGAAGTAGAATAGGAAGACTAGTTTAAGGATGAAGGAAATAGAGAATACAAGTGAGACTTACTATAGTTTTCTACCAAGTTGTTGTAAAAGCAATGTGATTTTGCTTATTTCTGAATAAATTTGACTGCCTTTTCCGTATCTTGTCTAGAACGTAGATAGTAAAGCTATGCGTGACCAACGATTAGACATGCAACGAAGAGCAGCAGAGACTGGTGATGATGACCTCATTCCATTTGGAGACCGACCAACTGTGTCGAGATTTGGGGCTATCTCTCGTACTTCCAAAGCCATGTATCAGAATTCTGGTCCCATGCAGGCCATGGCAGTTCAGGGAGGTACCACCAAATCGATCATTTCAGGTATGATGATCTACGCTTGGATTTTGCTGTCTGTTACTATTTTATTTAGTGCTACCAGTGTAGTTCAAGTTGAAGACAGCCCCTGTAAGCTTGTTTCTTGTCTTAGAAATATAGATGAGATGTATGTTACGCCACTAAAAATATCTCTAGGTAAGGCTACACTGAGAAGCCTGAAGAAAAAGGTAAGGGCAGGTTTGTGCAGTCATGGTGTATGTGTTGGTGATATGTTGTTGCTGTTTGGAAAAAGTTAATTTGTTCTGCTGGTCCTGATGAGATGAGAATCCAGAAACTTACAGCTTTCCCAAATACATAATGCAAAACCATCATAACAAAGTACTCTACTGCACTCCTACTTTATGGGTGATTGCTGCTGCAAGCTTAATGCAGGTGTTCCTTTAATGCAGGCAAAGCAAATAAAGTAGGAATAGTTTATTTTCTACACATCTATTTTATAATCACATGTAATGTGTCTGTATATCTTAGTCCAGAAGATGATCTCTTTCTTGAGATGAATTGAGTAATCTTAAGAAGAGACTTACTTAATATTCCCCCAGATTTCTTATAGACTTTTTCAGGAGTTAACTGCTGGAAACAAAACAAAAACTCGTTTGCTAAATTCAATCAGTAACCACCTAGACTTTTTCACAGGTGAAACTCTGACTTCTATGATCAAAGTCATGTTAACTAGGCATCTCAATTACCACTCAACTCTCAAGTCTTTTAGGAACTTAAGCAGTAAAAATAATTGCTCTCATGGTGGCTGTAGGGTGGGGTGTTTTTTTGTTTGGTTTTTTCTTTTTTGTGTTCCTTGAAGTCCATCACAACCTCAAATTCTGGAAGGCTGTCACAAACCTTGTTGGACATACAGGAAAAATCGTGCATTATGCATGACACTAGGCACAAGTAGTGTTTCTGTGTTCATTTCAGCAGAAGAAACATTAGACTTCCTCACTCTTACAGGGCTAACCTTTCTGGTTATTCTCTAGTGTCAGTCCAGTTCTGTGTGTTGGCTGAACTACTTAAAGGATAGTTTTGTAGTAATGCAGCATGGGTTTTTTTCTGTTCACTGGCAGACTACAGTCCTTATGGAACTCATGGTGCCTGGGGAGGCTCTCCATATTCTCCTCATCAAAATATACCTTCTCAGGGACGTTTCAATGACAGGTAGGACTGCTTTGTGTTTTCTGTAATTTTTTTTTTTTTCCTGTGCCAGCTGAATAAAGCTTTTCTTAGCAACCTCCTTATTTTGGCTTTTCTGATCCCAAAGGGAGAGACTGTCCATGTCAGATGTGGCTGGTCATGGGAAACAGTTGCCCTCAGCTGAACGAGAGCAGCAGCTGCGCATGGAGCTGCAGCAGGTAGACCATCAGATTAGCCAGCAGACACAAATGCGAGGACTAGAGGTTGGTACCAATGGTTGTAAGAGTGGTGAGGGATGGTATGGAGAGAGATGAAACTAATATTAAGTTGCTCTTCATTGGTTGATCTTTCTGTGACTGTAATGATATTCAGTAACAATACTTAATTCTGTGATGCCATGCATCAATACTAGGGTATGAGTGTAAAGCACTCTGCTTAGCAGCAGAAACGTCTCTGCACTTCATGCGCAAATCAACACCATATTTTAATCAGTTCTCTGTACTCATTTATTGCTTTCATTCTCTCTCACTTATTGCCCCTCTCTGTTCATCTGTATACTCAGGCAAACCTGTGCTACAGATAAGATACCTGTTCTTCTTGGCTTTACTGCCATTGAAAATGTCTGACTTTTATGTACAGAAAGCTATGACCTTCATCTGTTTCATGTTTGGCTTTGTGTTGTACCTGTTTCTTCCTAAATAGCACAAGCCACAAGAGTCAAAAAATAAAGATACTTAGCTTGAGAAATTAAGCATAATATTTTACATCTCCTCACTTAGAAGAAATATAGTCACTTGTAACATGAGGAAAGATGTCAGTCTGCATTTAAAAAAGAAAGAGTTGAAATCTTTGTGTTTTGTGAAAAACAGAAGGTAGGAATGTTAAGGCATAAGGAAAGAATTTTTCTAGCAACCATTTAGTTACTTTTTTAAGTCACAGCAGCAGTTAAAAGTACTGCATTTTGTAGTTACTTGAAACCTAACTTGTGTTCTTGTGCTCTTGTTTGGGAACAAGAGAAGAAAATGTTTTAAGTCTGGAATGTCTGCCATAATAGAAAAGTACTGGAAAATTGCAGAACTTGCAAGTGTCCTACTTTTCCTGCTCATTATTACTGTGATTCAGTATTAAATCCTACATAGTTGAGTTTTGAGCTTTGATTTTTATCATAATTTGAATTTGTCTGAACTAATCAGTTATTTTGAATGACAACAGCTTTCAATTTCTCTTGTGCTCAAAGCTGCAAGCAGATACTTGAAATCCAGGAGGTTTTACTGATTTACCTGCTCCAGGGTTGTAGCAATCGCTCAACTCCATCAAAGCATGAAGAACTAGATTATTTTGTTTGCTTCTCAGATGAATGAGCATTTCTACTTGAAGACCAGCCAGATGTTTGGTTGTTCAGAGTAGTAGATAGTGTGTTTAAATGCAGACTGCACACTTACAGAATTGATTCCCAGGGATTGTCAGATTTTTGGAGTGGCCAGTATGACTACTGCTTGTATGTGGCTGCTAGTAACTTGCAAATTGTGAATGACTGTACCTGCCCCCATCTCTTCCTATGCTTACTAATCTGGGTCAGTAGAGAGCTACAAATTCAACATCCACATCTCTCAAGATATTTTATGATTTGGTAATATAGTTCTGGTTCTGCCGTAGAATTTGTTAAGATCTGTTATTGTAAATTAAATCGGCAGATTTGCTTATTTGCTGTTATCTTTTGCTTAACAAATAGGTCATGAGAGTAGTGCTTTTATTTGTGTGCTTAATCATAGTTTTGAGAAGGGGTCTGTGTATGGGGAAAAATCCCTGGAAATTTATTACAGTAAAAGGTATTTAACACTGCTTGTTTAAAAGTGAAAATATTTGTCTGCATATAAAAAAAGTTTAAATTTGCATTAGAAGTTATTTCAATTGGGACCTTGATAAGCATGGCAAGGGAAGGCCTTGGTTTTGCAAATAAGCAATAATCTAGAGTTATGGCCTAGAGCTCTTTTTGTGCTTGGTGTGTTGTGTGCTCAGTTGTATATGTGCTTGGCTTTATGCATTTAGGCTGTTAGTAACAGGCTGCTGTTGCAGAGGGAGACGACTACACTGGCAGGCCAACCACAGCCCCCACTGCCACCTCCCAAGTGGCCTGGGATGATCTCAAGTGAACAGCTGAGCTTGGAGCTACACCAGGTGGAAAGGGAAATTGGGAAGAGAACCCGTGAGCTGACCATGGTGAGTGCCATGGGGGTGGGAGGCAAAGAGGTGGAGAGCTGTGTAGCTGGCTGCAGCCCTTTTACCCTGGCAAAAAGGCTCTCTGCTAGATGACCACAGCTGGAGTCATCCACCTCCTTCTTCACCTCTTCATTCTTCAGAACCTCCTGAGAAGTTTTTTGTTGATTTTTCATGAGGAATTTTAAATCTAGCCACTTCAAATGGCAACAAAATATCAGCAGGGTATTTTAAAAATGAGTGTGGCGATGAATTTGTTGAAAACTGTGAATTGTCTCCAGGGTCACTGTGCCATGAGTTAGACTGTTTTAACATAGAAAACTTTTCTACAGGTGCAGACTAGCGTTCAGAAGTCTGTGTGCTGTTACAGTCTCTGGTCTTTGCTTGTTGTTACAAGAATTGTCCCTTCCTTTCAGGAAATACGGTGTCCTGAGAAGAGCATTATCTTACTGAGTCTGTTTTCTTGTCTCATGGCTTTTTGTGGGTTACACTGTGTGACTTCAATTTACAGGCCTTCGTTATAGGTCCTACAGGATGAAGTCTCAAATTCTTTTAACATAATGTTAAAAAATTTTTCTTCTTCCTTTTTTTGAAGGAGAGCCAGTCTTCACTGGATATAAAAAACAAACTGGGCACTACTAAACAGACAGAAAATGGACAATTAGAACCACAAAGCAAGGTTCCAGCTGAGGACCTTGCTCTGACATTCAGGTAACATGAGTCTTCAACCTTCCTTTGTATATCAGAAGGACTTAATCATGGTCACCCTCTGATACATGAATAATATCTCCTGCCTCACACTAGCTCTGATGTGGAAACATCTACTAGGAAAAGATCATACAAATCAATTTTTTATAGTGTAAGCATGAATTAAGAGCTATTTCAGCTGATGAGTAGGGGAGTGGAAACAGACTCATGACAATTAATTCAACAGAAGTATTGCAGCATTTGTAAGACCAGAAGTCCATGTAGTCAATATTGAATGATTTATAGGGAGGAGCAGGAGGTAAGCAGGCATAAAAGAAATCTTTATCTGCTGGTTTAGTTTCAAATAAATGTTGGAAATGAGAGAAAAGTTACTCTATTTTACTACAATTTGTGAATTGGATGTTGTCTAGGAAGGCATGTAACTTTTGAAACAGAGTTCACTTTCATTTGCAGGCAGTAATCTTCATCTGTGTAGGTACTGGGATTGATTTCAATTCACTTTTGATAGTCCATCGAAATAAGATGTTGGCTGGTAATGTTGGTTATCTATACAACAAACATCTTCAGATGGCTGCAAGCATCTGTGTGTATTCAGGTTAATAGTTTGAAGAGAAAAGCTCAGATGTTTCACTGAGTTTGCATAACTTCATCTGAGCAGTTTGGAATCTGGATATTTATTCAGAATGTGTATTTAGAAAACTTAGACCTCGCAATTGCTTATGAAGTCTGCACTTTCTTCTTATAACCAGTTCTTGAGTTCTGTGCTGCTCTGTTAGATTGAGGCCTCTGGAGCATAAACTAATTTTTCCATATGAAACTCTAGAAGTAATAAAATTGAAACAACTTTTTTTAATTATTAAGAAAAATCCTGATAAGTTAAATATTCTGGAATGTGTGCATTGTATGAATTGATAATGCACACTTTGTGGCATATACTGAAATATTTGGAAAATGTAAATCATCTAGAACCCTAAAAATATATAGTCTTGTTTGTTTTCAGTTATAGTCTTGTTTGTTTTCAGTTAGTCTTATCTTAGTTCTTCCTTTTCTGGTGTCTGCAGCATCCCAGACAACCTGTTTGCTATAGAGGGCAAGTCTTCACATGTTTACATATGTTCACAACTGTTCATTTTGATGCTGCAGCAACAAGTAATTGGAGTCTTTTTACTTAAAAAAAAAAAATGAAAAATCTAATTTATTACTTCCCTCCCTCCCCTTTTCTCCTCAACTTTCTTTCAGCAGTGATGTTCCAAATGGATCAGCTTTGACTCAAGAGAACATTAGCCTCCTGTCAAACAAGACAGCATCTCTCAGCCTGTCGGAGGACCCAGAGGGAGGAGGAGACAACCATGACTCCCAGAGAGCGGGAGTTACACCCACATCTGCTCCATGAAGTGAGGCAAGCATACCCCAGACATTCTTCTGCTGGGGTGCTGGTAGCTTCCATCACGTTTTTTTCCAGGGGTGATTGGAGAAACCCAGGAGCACAGCAGTAGCAGAGCAGCAGGTCCAGAGGCAATGTGCACGAACACAACTACTAGAAACAAATCCTGCACATAGTTCACATTAACGCATTTTTTAATTAAAAAAAAAATGAAAATTAGCAGTATCTGCAAGCAATTCAAATTAAATTTGTTTTTGTTCTGTGAATGAACTTTATTTTAATAACTTCGGACGCCTTGAATCCCAGGGCTTAAAAAAAAAATATTATATATATACTCTGTTTGATTAATTGTATGATCTTAATGAAGTAGGTTTTTTTCTTTTATTTTGGTATTATTACATACCCAGTGCGTAATTTAATTCCTTATCAACTTAATTTCTCAACAACTAAAACACCCTGGCTGCTTCCTTGTGTGGTTTAAGAATAAACAAGGAATGAGGGTTAGAGAGTAGCTGTGAATTGAAGTGTCAAAAGATGTGCAGCAAGCATCATTCTTAAAACAGTTCCTCCTATTGTGGCTAGGAACTGAACACTAGCTTATGCAAGACTTTGCTTAAATTACTTAGGTTTAAACTGTAAGTGACAGAATCTTTGCAGTGCAACAGGTGTGGTCCTTACTGTACGTCCCAGCACAGCATGTGTAATAAAAGAGGACAACGAAATAAGTGTCTACTATATTCTATTTGAACGTTGCTTGCCTTCTGTTTTCTGTTGGCACTAAAGAGATCAGCAGAATGCAGACCAATCTTCTACAGCATTGTTGTTTCTGAAGCTGGCTAGCTGGGGCTTGTGGTGGAGATGCTTAACAAAACAATGAAGGTTGTGCAGCTGTGATCAGGCAGAATCTCAGGAAATGGGAAGTAGAGAGCACATAAGGTTATGCAGTTGTTGGGTGGATGTTAACTGCTGATGAGCTGGTGAACTTCTTATTTGATCCAATGTATGCTATTCTGTTTGGATTCCACTCCCCACACACCTGCTTTCTCACTCTGCCCTTAAAACAAGCTTAGCCAAAGTCCATATTATTAAGTTGATGCAGAAGGACTTACTGACCTTTGCCTTTTGAAACCCATCTTTCATGTATGGCTCCTTCTCAGAAACTCTTGCTTTTGTTTTTTCTTGATCACTATTTTATTATTAAAAACACTTTCTCTATAACATGATTTTTTTTTTCCCCTTTTGTTCAGTGATTCATCAGTTATTTAATTGTAATGCTGTTGTGAGGGCCTTTTACTGAAGGAGATCAACATCACTGATTTCTGCTCATCAGTGATGGCAATTTTTACATAGAACAGAGGGGGATTTTTTTTTAAACTTAAAAATTCTGCGTGTATTAGAATTTGACACCTGTGAATCAACCTGTAGCTTGTCTGCCACTGCTGCATTGAATCCTTCCTAGATTCCCCTTTCATAGGGGAAAAACTGCATCAAAGTGACCACTTAAGGTGCAGCACAGATCCTGTCAAAAGTAGTAAAAAGCGAACTTTGCTTGATCTAGTGTGCTACCTCCAAGCTGATGCTTTGTAAGCATAAGTTGGTGAAACAGTAAGCCTTTCTAGATGTTTTCTTTAAAAGTTAAAGAAATCGAGAGATTTTGTTCTTGCTGCACATCTTCTGAATCTTTCAACATGCACTGCAATGGGACCCTATATGCAAAGAATCCCATGGAGAATGACTTAAGTGCTGCTCCCTCTCCACCTTCTTGGCCTGTTCTCGTTTTTCCTTTCTGGGTCAGACTACTAAATTGGAAAGCACTGGTTATGTAATAAATTACTGCATTGCTTTGGTTGGGTAAAGCAAGAGTTAATAAATTTTCTTGGGTTTTAGGTTTTTTTCCTTAACCTTAACTCCTCCTGAGGTCATAGCAACCTTGGGCTAAGCTTTGCATTCATCATACTGTTAAATAAAACAAAATGGGGGGTGGGAGGGCATACAGTCCCACTATTGCCTACCAGTAGGAGAGTCCAAACAGAAGACTCTTTTGAGTAGCAATTATTTAATTTGCCCAGTCAAGGCACCGCGTTTATATACTATTTCACATTGAATTTGATTATGCCCTACAGACCTGGCTGGTCAAGGATTTGATACACATATTGGCTTGGGATTCGAGCTTTCTTTTTTATTTAAATAAAAATTTATATGTAAATATATATATACATATATACATAGTTATATCTGTATATATATTGGGTATGTTTTAAGAATTTTTTCGCATGAGCGCAGCTGTTGTGATCAAATGTCTGGGAGGTAGAAGCACTGAATGAAAATAAAAGCATTTTTCAGCACACACACACCCACACTTTCCATACGTCTTCACACAGATTTATTTCACTCTCAGTTGAACTTTGGCCTCTTAATCACCAAATAGTTTTGAAGCTTGCTTTTTTTTTTTCTCCTTCTAACCCCTCTGAACTTTCAGCAGAGAATTATCTTTGTGCTAGAATAACTTCATCTGCACCTTGTCCCCATCCATCCATGTCTCCTACTTGAGGTCTAGCATTGCAGCTGCTCCCCTTTGAGCTGAGCAGAACTAGGGTGATGCAGTTTTGAGCCCTTCTGATCTGTTCCTCCTGTCTCTGGTCTGGGCATGGTGATGATTAACGTGTTCCCTTGGCAGGCTGCTCACAAGTCAACTGACACAGGCAGCCATGCTCTCTTCTCCAATCCTTCAGTGCAGAGCACCACCATCAGGTCAGCCTTCTCGTTTTTAATTAGTCTTTTCTTCTTGCTGTGTCTTTTTTAACACAGGGAGCTCATTTTAGTTGAGATAATTGGTGCAATATTCTAATCTAGGAGGACAAGCCCAGAATATACTTTTTTGACTGCAGTAGTTTTTGATGTAAAATGAATTTTTGAAGACGGTTATAGTTTTGAATCTACAAATTCATTTTCAACACTAGAAAGAAAATCTGGAGGGGCAAAAAACTCTTCGCCTTTTATTACTTGTGCCAGCTAGTTTCCTTGCCAGGTTAGGAATTAATTTTTTTCTCCACTTCTGCTCCTGAGAGGATTTATGCAGTAAGAGCTATTCAGATTGCTGGCCTGCATAAGGTGAATGCTTCTAAAACCTGTGGATTAGAAGGAAGATCTTACCATTGGTTTTTTTTCTCCTTTATCCAGCTCTCTGTGCTGTACTTTGTGCATAGTGTCCTTGTGATCAGTGTGTCCAGGTGAATGCCCTGTTTGCCCAGTATTATAGTTTGGCTTGCTAAATAGTTAGCTTAATATCTAACAGTATTGATTTTTTGGCTTTGTTTTTTCCCCTCCTCCTCTTATCCATTTTCTGCTTTTTTGCAGAAGTTTAGTTGATTAAACAAGTCAAACAGCAAAATACAGTGCATGCTTTTAAGTCTTTTCTGGAAGCTGTGTCTAAAATGTACCCTTAGTGGAAAACCATGCTAATAGAACTGGGAGGACAGATAGCTTTATGTATAATGGAAGCATTGATGGTTACAGTAAATGAGCAGGGCATGAAGATTTCTGGAGTAACTGTATCCTGCTGCATTCATGTCTATAGCCATTGTCCTAGTTGTACAGGAATGCTGTCCACCTCCGTGAAATTTGTCTTGCTTAAAAAGTGGTTTAGTTCCTTCTACCTGGGCAAGAAGAAACAGTATTACAATGGTATTAGGGCACTACTGCAACATTTCGTAGGTAGGTCAAATTTTCTCCAGCAGTAGACAGCTTTGAACCTTCACTGATACCTGGTTTTCAGCCTCATTGTGGACAAAATCCCCAGATCAGGAAGCTTCAAGTGTTAGGTTAAGCTTTAGTATGTCAGTGATTCAGATGGTATAGAAATTATGTTTGTTTATTCTGTAGTGTTCCTTTTTCTGTCAACATCTCTTCTTCATTTCCTATGACCTTGTTTTCTTAATAGGAGAAACTTACACTTTTTTGTTCTGCTCCTCTCGTATGCTGTTGTATCCTGTCCTGTTTCAGGGTAGGACTTTTTTTTAATTAAGATGAGAGCACCCACCTTTCAAACTTGCAGCACTGTTCCCCCTTTGTTCTCAAGTTCCTCTCTGTCTAGTTTCTTCTGAGCTTTGTTCTCTCCCTTTAATCCATACACTCCTTCCTTTCCTTCTGTGGCTTGCTCATTCACCCTCCCTGATTGTGTAACAGTGACAGCTTGCTGCCTCAAAACAGAGCATTCAAATGAATTCGCTTAGCCAATAACTTCTGTGAAGTTGCCTTTTCTAATGGTGTTATTACTCAGTGATGCACAAATGTGATATTACCCCTACTGGTAGGCAAACGGGGGATCTGTATAAACGTGGTAAACTGCTGTTTTTCTTTAAAGGAGAGCCAAAGACTTGTGCTTTACACTTTTTTTTTTCCCTGGTGTAGCCATTTTGATTGTCAAATCTTTATAAGGGGGTTGTGAGTTGACTGTTTTATCCTAATAACAATTTACAAAACATTGTGATTGTCAAGCCTTATCCATGCATTAAATTGTGGAAAATCATTCTGTTTAGTCATAAAATTTGCAATGTACTGAGATGTATCTGGGGTATTCTGACATGTTTTCAGTCTCTCATGCATTCTCTCAGCTGACGGAATGGCTCATTTAGAGAGGGAGAAGGAATGTAGAAATGTTATGTAATCAAAGAAGCCTTGTCTTTAAGTGTTTAAATCTAAATTGAATACTGATTTAAAATTTCTTCAATTACAGTAAAAGATAAATCTGTTGCAAATGTGACTGACTTTTAAGTCCATTGGAATTGAAAAAACTTGTCAAATTGTAGCATTACATTAAATTAGATGTGGAAGAAGCAAACTTGTATGATGATATTGTCTCTTGACAGCACAGATTGAGTTAGGTGGGGCAAATTCTATATTAGAAAGTGCTAGGAGTGAGGCTTTTGATTGATAATACAAGAAAGCTGCTTGCATTTTCCTTTCTTGATCTAACTTAAACTCTTGCAGGCTGTTACTCTTCAGGTTTGGAGAGAAATCTACAAGTCAGAGAAGCATAGATCTTCATGTCCATTGCCATTTCCATTTAAACATCTGGACTATAATGAAGTTGACTTACAGGATAGTTATGTGAAGAACCCTGATACAGAATATCTTTGTTTGACTAGCTATGGTCCCAAGAAATTCAGTGCTAGTGTCAGGAGGTTCAACAGCAGGTGTGCCAATCTGTCTTCTGTTCTAAAATGGGGGGGGAAAAATACCCATATAAATAGTGTGCAAGTTCTGTGCTTGTCTGTGTGCATATGAAGAAGTTTTTAATAGTACTAGAATAGATAGAAGGAACACAGACCAAGGCTGGGGCATGATGTTAACCTCCTATTCAAATTTCTGTTTCCAA